AAAGAGTTTTCCCCCCCCCCCCCCTTAAAAAATTGAACCACATGTGCTAATATTTTCCACTAGGTTAATTTTAAGTCCTTTCACCAAAACCGTTTCTCCTTTAAAAAAAAAGGGTGCAAGCAATACAACCCATGACATCCACTTTTGTAACATGCTTAGTGCATCAGTGACGTCATGTGCAAGGCACTGCTATGTTTAAAGGATACCACTGTCACAGTTTCTCTATTTCGGTATTTTTTTTCCCCAAAAATCACAGTCAAACATGAAAAAGCTGAGGTAATCAAATTATTTCAATACCAAAATATATTAATTGAAATAGTACCAGTATGGTGAAAGGTCTTCATCATATTACACAGTTATTGTTACCACTCAGCATGCAGTACAGCATATAATATGTATACTATGCCTTTCTTGTGGTGATCTCTTCTGATACAGGCTTTAAAAACTGCTCAATCTGTGCAGCAAGAAACTAAATTGGAGCACTTTTATGAGCTCCTTTTTGTTCACAGGGCATCCCTTGGTATATAGCAAGTTTTAAAGTAACACGAGATGAATGAGCCCATTCACATTCAAATTTTCAAGAGCTGCACAAATTGGCGTTCTTAAAAAGAGTTCAGAGGAGCAAAATACCCTACAGTAACTTCGTCTATTATTTAATCAATTGCACTTAAAAATCTACACTGTTACCGGCTTCCAAGTTGAGACAAAATGTTGACAAAGTGCCTGTTGTCTCAACTTCGGTTACTTTGCCTGACATTACATAGTCATACAGCTAATTCTAGATATATGGCTTTTACAGATCATTAGACAATTTAGGCCTAGAAGGAGCCAACAGTGTTTCTGCTAAGTTACACCGGCAAAGGAGTACACATTTTTCTAGTCCCCTAATGCCCCTTTTATTGCAATGTTACCTCCAGAGTCGTGAATTTTCACACCTCTGGCTTAATACCCAGTTTTATGCAGCCAATTTTACTTAGTTTCTAAACACTGATAACTCCCCTGAAATAAACTGCTACTTACATTTACCCTACCAGGCACTACAGTATATTAAAAGACTGAAGTGTAGCCATGCATAGATTACTTAAATGAGCCTTATTATGATGCTCTACCTGTACTATGGGTTGCTCTAGAAAGCCTTAAAGAACTTGGAACTAATTGCTGGCTTGTACTGGACTTTAATGGGACACATATGGTTTCCTTTACAAAGTCTCGGGTCACACAAAGTAACTCCTAAATCCGGAAAGCTTTTTCGGATCTGGTATGAAAGCTATCTAAGAAGCAGCCTCACAACATTTAAATGCTAAGCTGCATCACCTGGAATCCAAAGGCCATGCTGTGCAATGATCACAGCCCAGAAAACTCCCCGACTTACTTGGTAGTGATGCATACTAAAATTTCATCTACAAAGAGCTTTTGATTTTTGTGGCCCGACTGACATTTAATACTCCAAACAAAGAATTCATTTCCTAAGGCTTTAATTTTTCTGTAGCCTTAGACTAGGGTACAGAGTGAAATCTGGTCCCTTTTAACCAAAGACACCATAAGTGTCTTCAGATAAATGTCAATAAGGACTTCTTATTTCATTGTGTACATCTGGCCAACAGACAGGTTCCGGCTGCATTAAAAGCAGGTTGTTATCTGTTCCTGAGCAAAGGCATACACAAGTCAACATTTTCTTGGCTGGCTGGTTTCTACTTAGCTTGCTTCCAAGTACGTAATGAGCTACAGCAATCTGTTTTCCAAGGAAATCAACTTCAATAATCCTACCTCAATAGCTTCTAGGGGATGCCATCTCACAGTCCTTTAGCTGGCATTCTACATAGTCATGCTCCAAACAGGATTTAATTTAGAAGACAAGGTGCCAATCATTTCCACTGTAATATCAATTTGAGGGAAAAATAAACCAGCAGGGACTCTTGCAAAGGAAAATATATATATATATA